GGTGTAGTCGCTGTCCTAAAACTTTAATGCGGCCGCGTCTACTGGCTTAATGTCCAGTCCGTACCGATTTACTTATTGACCCGCTTGTTTGCATGTCGGCGAGGTTCTTGTCCAGTTGCGTCACCAGCCTCCTCATCGGCTCATCGTTGCACGGTAGGTACGTACGTCAGTCCTCCGGTAGAACACTGGTCTTCTGAATGTAGTCTGCCTTACATATCACGACTGCGATGCCCCTCCGGTCAATCGTATCATTGCGCAGCGCACCTACATTCAATATGGTTAAATGGCTATTTCGAAACCTGAGGTCTTTCACGTCTGACGTGGGGGCACGACGGTCTGTTCAGCGACTCAGTTCCTGGAGCGGATCAAAGGGGTGAGACTTGCCAAAGACGAGGTCATGATGTCATTCGACGTCACTTCTCCTTTCACCTCGATTCCGCAAGACCTGACAGCCGAAACGGTCAGCGAGCTGCTCGAGAGTCAGTACGACGAGACGGGCGTGACGGTAAAACGGAGACTTCTCGTCTAATTGCTGACATACTTCCTGAAGACCTACTTCACCTTTGAAGGCATGACCTACAAACAGGTCAAGGGGACGCCAATGGGATTGCCGCTCTCGGACTTCATCACAGAGTCATTTCTCCAAAAAGTAGAGACCTTCGCTTTCTCAACCAATAAGCCAAAATTCTGGACTCGACATGTCGATGATACCTTCTTTATCATTAAGAGGCAGATGGTCAGGGAATTCAATGATGTCCTGAGCTCCGTTTTTCCTGACATCCACTTCACAATGGAGGCGGAGGCCAACAACCAACTGCCGTTCCTAGATGTTCTCGTCCATCGAAAACCCATTGGACGCCTTAAAACGACGGTATATAGGAAGTCTACTAATGCACGCCAAATTCTGTGCTACCACAGTAAGCACTCGTTAGGCCACAAACGCTGTTGTGTGCGAACACTCTACAGAAGGGCAGATACACACTGCAGCGAACCGCCTTTCAGTATGCCGAAGTTCTGGGCCAGAGAAACGACCACATGGTCAGGAAAACAATCGAGGCTTGGCACACCGGGACAACCTCCGTCAACCGTTGTGTGGCTCTTCCCGCTACCTACCAAGCTCTTCGGGCGCAGCTCAGTAAACAAATGAGCAGACGTGCACCCAGGCTAAACATGAATCCAGACTTGAGAGAGTCCATAGCGGATACACACTCAGCCACCCCCCCCCCCCAACCGTGTTCCGACGAAGGCGCAGTCCTCACCACAGACGATTTATCTACTAGTCTGGCGGATGAGAAAACGGACAGTCGTTGCGGCGTAAACAAGATTGCCAGGCTTGGACGACAGCTACGGTCAATGAAGGTATGAATGACGGCCACCAAAGTCTCGACGCCGGCCTCCGATGTAGATTAAGTACATTCCGTCACTCTCCCTCCCTCCATCACTTCCCCCGCCCGCCACAGTCCATGTGGGCATGCGGCTGCTGGCCAATAAGGCCGACCAGCTACCCACTCACCCGGCGAAAAGGCGCACTAGGACTCTCTCCCCGCCCCTTCCTCCTTGCCGATCAGATTTTATATGTAAAAAACCGGCTTGAAATGACTGTCACCCACCTATAAATACTGTGAGACGCGATACCACACTCTCCTCCGTTGATGGAAGCTTGTTTTCTTTTGAAACGTCAGGACAGTTAAACTTTGGTTCCAGAGATCGCCTTTTCTTCTTATTTATGTCCGGGGACACGCACCTCCGCTTCTTTTCAGTATATATATATATATATGAATTGGAACGCAGGCATCCCAAGAAATATAAATTGAAATCAAAACGTTCTTTGGGAAAGGGAGAAAACTTTATTGAGTAAATTTTCGACGGCAGCTTACTAGCTGAGGCACCAAATGAGTATTGATTTTGTAGCACGTTTGAAATTTTAATTGTTTTCAGCACATTTACTCTAGTCTGACGACGACACGGGGGACCGACGTCGAAAATTTACTCAATAAATTTTTCTCCCTTTCCCAAAGAACGTTTTGATTTCAATATATATATATATATATATATATACATAAATATATATAGTTGTATATTTGTAACTGACAGAAGGTTCGCCAACAACATTGGCAACTGCTAATCAGTTCCTTGAACGTTTAAATCATCTAAAACTAGAGCCAAATGAATCCACGGTATCTTTTTACGTCGTTTTACTCTTTACCTCCATTCCACATCTAGCGATTGACGTTGTGAGACATATTCTGGCTGATCGCTACAGCGAGAGAGAAAATCCCCTGAAAACCGAAAATCTCATGGAGCACTTACGATATTGCCTAAGAAAATATTTCACATTTGGTGGACAAATGTATGAACAAATCAAAGGCACCCCTATGGGCTCCCCTCATATCAGGGATGATTGCTGATGTGTTTATTCAACGGATAGAACACTTGGTGTTCACCAAGTATTAACCAAAGTCCTGGGCTCGTTACGTCAATGTTACCTTCGCCATTGTCAAATCATCTGACGTGGAGCAACTCAAAGAATTACTGAAATCGGTTGACCCGAATATCCCATTCACTATAGAAGCCGAAACAAACAACCAACTTCCTGGACGACTATTCCTTACATTAAAGGAGTTTCTAAAGGCGGTTTCACGACTATTACAACCCGCCAGGATGGGCATTGCCCATCGACGCCAGGCATAAATTCGTGCCGTTTTATGCAACGAAAAGAAATGCTGACACCCATTGAAACCTCAACAGTTTTCTATCAAATACGTTGCAACGCTTTAGACTGAAACTACGTTGTGGAAACCGGACGGAAATTGCAGACCCGCCTAAATGAGCACAAACTGGCAACTCGTAGACTAGATCCAGACCCATAGCTTGCGGCTTACTTTGGGGAAACTGGTCACGGTTTTGATTTTCAAGGTGCAGCCGTCTTAGGCAGGGGCACCTAGAGGAAAGAGCGTCTCACGCTTAAAACTTGGTACTTTGATATCAACTCTATCAACAGGCATCTAGACCTTCCTCCGGCCTATAAAGTGTCACGTCATTGCATACGTCGTGACGAAGACAAGGCAGTCACAAATGGGGGAGGCAAACGCAACTAACCCCAAATGAGGTGAAAGCACACAATACAAGAGGCAACCAACAGTCTCAGGCGAAGGACGGTAGGCAAGGCAGTGAAAGAAGAGACAAATCGATCGGCCAAGGACAAATAATCCGGCTGTCCACTCAAGATCCTGATCGATTTTTTCACTAGACGCTTCGAAAATGGAGAGCCGTCCCAGATCTTCGAAACGTCAACCATGCAAGTGACCACTTCATTTTCCAAAGATAATTATGTATGAAAAGGAAGGAGGTTCTTCGGAAAAAAATGTAGTTGTACTCGTGAATTTTCGAATTGGTGACACTAACCCGTCGTCAGACGAAATGAAGGGAAAAGTGAGAGTGAGACATTATCACTGGACTAGTAAACGCGACAGGGCAAACATTGACGGATGGACCATTAGCGTGTGAGGAGTGATGCGGGTAGGGAGTCATGCTGGGTGCTGAGCCGGGAGGGCAGGAGGGGGGGGGAACCGTAAAGGCGCCCTGTGGAGGGGGAATGGTTGGTTGGCAGAACTGCGAGCGCCTGCATTAGCGGATTGGAGGTCCAGACATCGTGCCGCGTTCATTATCTCCCGAAGACGTCGAAGAAGAAGAGAGGGAAAATTTATGGACAATATTTTATTCGAACTGACGTTTCGGAAACTTCCTCGTTTCTATCATCAGATTAGTGGACTTGTTGCAACTGCCGGTCTTGAGTTGTTCAGTCTTGCCGCTTGCCTCGTATTATAGCCGTGCTCGACGCACGAACTATGAACTGCCTGTTTGCGGCTGACTGGTTTAGACCTCCCCGGGACTGACCGCTGACAGGCCTGCGTGACTTTTGTTCCATTTGGGGTCGGCGTAATTGTAGTCAAATCAACGTGCCGCTTGGGCTCTCCCACGTCAGCCGGTGGATTGATCGGTCGTTGCTGTTCAGATGAGCAGCATTCAGCTTCTCAGGCGCATCGGTGAGACAGTGGTCGGCTTTGGTCACATGACCTCTGACCCCCAATTCCGCTCTTTTCCGTGAGCGTTGACTCTCGTCCCGCGTGCTTGCTTGCCTTACTGGTCCTGCCTTGTACGCAGCGCCTGGTAGGCGCGATGTAGATCTATAGCTCGGTTGAGTGTGCCAGTCGAGGACCAACTGTCGGACAACAGTCTGGCCATCTTCTCATTGGCTCGATCAATTGCCTTTGCTTTCTTAAAGGCAAAATCGTGGTTCAGTTATCGTAAGTGGCCATGGACCAGTGACAGCTTGTCCTTGCGGTTGATTGCAGGTTGGTGTTCGTGCAATCTTGTACCGAGGCGTTTGTCTGCATCACCAACATACATCGAGTTCCAATTTAGGTATGGTGTACTGTACACCCTCGCCGACTGTTCTGTTGGTGGTGGCGGGTCTTTGGGTTTCATGATTTGCTGTCTGCTGATGCATTCTGGTTTACGGGCCACGCCAATCCCAAAAGGTTTTAGGATTCTCACCGTTGATTCTGATACGTTTTTCACATAGGGTATTGAGAGCCAGAACTTGGGCTCTTCTCCACTCGACTGCTCAAAATGAGGCTTTTTGAGGTTATTGCATATGAAGGACTTCGGGTAGTCGTTGGCTTTAAAAAGGGCCTCTAAGCATTCCATCTCCCCCTTCCTCCCACTGTCATCGCTACAGTGAGTTCGAACGCTGTCCACTCCGAATCCTTGGTAAGGAAACAAAGTCGCTGGTACAGCCACTTTGACAGCCCAAAGGTTGGTATACCAAGTAAGAAGACGATGGGGCGTAGCTGCACTCCCTGCTTGCGGAACCTTTGTAGGCCGTAGAGACGCGCCATCGCGACATTACTGGCTTTTGCGGCCAAGGCTTTCCATCTAGTAAGAGCCCCCGCTTTCCTCATCTTGCCGATCGTATTGTTTATGTTGTTTACGAGCTTTTAAAACTCACTGACGGTCGATGGCGCATAATCTTCATTGTCCATCAAGAGGTTGCGTAGTTTTATGCAGTACTCAGCCTTATCAATGACGGCAGTCGAGCGCCCCTTGTCGGCGAGCAGAGTGATGCTGTCCTTTATTTTTCGTATCTTCAGAAGTTCTCGATCTTCTGCTTTAGAAATCGTCATCTGGCGTTTGTGTTTGAGGAGTAAGGTTGACATCTGTTGTCGCACGGCGTTTTTGCACCACTCGCCTGCCTCATACTTCTGGAGGGTAGATTCAAAGGATGCAATAAAGTCTTCTGGTCGAGTATTTCTTGTGCTGAACTTGGCGTCATAGGATAGAAACGCTACTTGTTGCGTCACCGGCCTCCTCATCCGCTCATCGTTGCATGGTAGGTACGCCTGTCGGTCCTCCAGTAGGGCATTGGCCTTCTGAATGTAGTCTGCCTTATCCATTACAACTGTTGAAGGCCCTTTGTCTGCGGTTAGAATCACGGTGCTGGAGTCAGCCCTCAGTGTCTTGAGAGCGCTCTGCTCGGCCTTGGTAATATTTGCACGCGGTGTGTGCGCCGTAGCCAAGGAGCCTACCTGCTGTCGAATGAGTTGCTTTGTTTCGTCGGATTTCCCGGTTTGTTTGAGAATCGACTCAACCGTGGACACGAGATTGACTGGATCGGCGTCTGTGGTGTTGAAGCAAACCTCATGACTCAGCACTTTCACTTGTGTAGGGGCAACTGCTTATAGGACATATTGTGCACCAGGACTTCGTTCTCCTCTTAAATGATTTGATTATGCTTTAGAGCTTCGCAACCAGCTCGGCATCTCTTGTTGCTCGCAGTTACAAAGTGCCAGGCGGTTACACAGTGCGTCTAACTCATCGGTGAGGACAGAGTCACGCAGTTGCAACAAGTGATTAATAAACGGGCCCAGAACCTGCGAGTATGAATGGCCGTCTTTCGGGTTTTAAATATTCTTTAATTATGATGCATTTAGGATTGTGCGATGGCCATTCAAACAGCATCGTGTCTGTCCGCTAGTTAGTACTCTCTAAGAATAATGCGGTGTAGTCCTTATCCACTGCAAAATTTTATGAGTCCTAGATAAAATTTACTGAACAACATATATTAATTCATGATTTGCTTTACTCAGAATGTGAACAACGTGTTTATTTTTCGAAGTCCATAAACTCATGCGCAATATCAGGTCCTGTGCTATACTTTTTAATGAAACTCAAAAAGGCATAATTTATTTTTAACCCACCACAAGAAAGATTTTTTGATATTTTTAATAGCAAGGACATCAGAAGCCGGTAGGGGAAATTCATACTGGTAAGGTTAACATTTTTGCAGACTAAGAGACTCGCAGGCATGCAGCTGTGGTAGAGATATTTTAAAATGACAATCAATATTACAACTCCAATTAACTATTTCTGCTTTGAAAGAACATTTCCCCGGAATGAATTTAAAGCAAGAAAGCCCGTTATAATATCCTTGCCCTTTAGGGGCGACAACATCTCTAATACCATCAAGCGGCGATTGAGATGCAATATTGAAAGAACTTACAACGCAGCTGAACTCATCTTCTACAGTTCTACTAAGGCTATCGAAGTTCCACGGGCGAAGGATGCCTTGCCATTGCACACCACGTCAAATTGTGTTTACGAATTTACATGTACTTGTGGATGCAAGTACATTGGGCGAACGCAAAGGCAACTGGCAGCCAGAGCAGTTGAGCACGTGCCTAAATGGCTTCTAAAGCAGGAGAACAAGACTCCACGGTCTTCCATTACAAAACATCTCCTTGATAGTGGCCATTCGGTTGACCCTAAGACGTCTTTTCGAGTATTAGTTTGAGCACGAATTACTCGGTTATTGCGCTACCTGGAGGCAGCCTATATACGGCGGGAGAAACCCGACCTATGTAAACAATTAGACCACGTGGTCAACCTCAGCTTGCCCTGGTAGACCCGAGCCCCTTTTGAGTTTCGAAATCCCTCGGCATGCCTAGTTCCCCATTTTCATTCCTATGTTTCATTTTGAAGTTACCATCTTATCGATTAGTCTACGCGCAGAACACGTTGACTTTGCTTTTTTCCATCTATTTTCTCTGTCGAAATTCAAACCTTTGTACCTTTCTCACTTGTTATTTCTGTTATGCAACGACCGGCAGCAGTTGAGAAGCCGTCGCGAAATTTTGTGGTACCATTAAATTCTGCTGTCCTCGCTTGCTTTATATTTCTGCTTTATAAAGGACACACTTCCAAGACTCGGCTAGCGTTACATGAGATTAGTAACCAAATTTTCTTTTCTTTATCTGCAAATTTTGAAGTCTCCCTCAAACTAATTAGCTTCCATCAGGACCAGGGATCTTCGAAATTTGCCATACCCAATGTTCCGCGGAAGGGATATAAATGAAACATAGATCAAAGTACGTTGCCTCGAACACCCAATTTTTTGCTATTTGTACCTCCCACTGTCTGCAGACCTAAGCTCACTGTTTCAATTTTATACTCCAATACCTCACCAGAAACTTGGGAAAGTTAGCCACATTAATAGGTTTTCAGACATTTAGTAATTTGGCTGCATTAATCACGCAACTTAAAAGATTGAGCGACTGCGGACATCTTTTTACATAACTCCTTGCTTAAGACAAGGTCTTAGGCGTGCCATATGTACCACCACCAATACCACCGCCACCGCCAGCACCACCAATACAAACTCCACAGGACCTACACCACCAGCACCACCACCACCATCAACACCACACCACTACCACCACCACTGCAACCACCAACGCCACCACCGCCACCATCATCACATCCACCAACACCACCACCACCAACACCATCATTAGGACCACCAAAGCCACCACCACCACCGCCACCACCACTACCACCACGAGCACCATCAATACCAGCACCACGCTCGGGTTAGTTTTTGTCGGGCGGGAGAACACTAAAGATACCAGAACGGGCAGTTGTTCTCTGCAAAACGACAAACTGCCGTATCGGATGGAGTGATCTCTGGCAAGGCCAGCGTGTGTTTTAATTCCACCAAATCATGAATGATGAAACAAACAAATGACGTGCACGCTTCTGGAGGCAAACTAAGCAGTCTTGCATGAAAGGGCAGGCGCAAATGCGTCTCCAGTTCATTCGTTAAAAACCAAACATTTAGAACTTCATGAGAGAAATGTAAATTCGGTCCACAGAAAATGGAGAGCAGTTTGAGGGAATCCGAACGTATTAGCTGCATTGGCTGGTTCCAGGTTGGAATACTTCCTAGTCACTGAATATGCCTCTACCCGGACGCGCGGTTAGTCTTGTAACCCGAAATCTTACACTGTCTCATGGCAGGTAAACACACTCAAGCACGATAACAGAACTGGCATACCTCACAACTCTAGATCTGCAATGGTGTCAACTAAGGTATTGACGGTCAATCCGAAGAAAATTATTGTTTGCCCTGTAGAGGACGCCCTGTCTGTGGCAACTAGCGCACCAAGCCTCGTCTCTGGGTCAAATTGTCTGGAAAAATCCTACAGTGGTAGCCGACTAACCAGGTCGTAATAGGCTTTACGCTTTACAGCACCTGACCTACTGGCCAGAACGATGCTACTAGATCGCGCAGGTCTAAATGCCACTCACGAGCTTACGTAGGGCAGCAATAGACTGCCCGCCCAAGTCCATAAAGCCTGCTTTAAGACGACAGTTTGAGGGCCAAGAAGTCATGCGAACTGAGGGGTGGTTTTTGTGGTTAAGTTAATAGTTAATTTCTAGATGAAGTTGAGTCAAACACTGTCCAAAGTGTACTCAGGAATACTTATTCAAAAAGCTAGTAGAGTTCATAGTCACTTCTATCGGACAAACGTCAGAAGGCAAAGTACTCGATTGACGGAAGACCTGAATTATCCGGCGACAAGCCTTTCATGCGGAATCTCAACCCTTTTGAAGGTCATTTCTCACCTCAATAGTTTACTGGCGTTATTGAACAGTAAGCCTTACATGTGCAGTTTAATGAGAAATCTTCAAAACAGAACGACGTCTTCCATTTCCAAAACAAAGATCTATGATTTATTGTGGTCATTTGGTTAAAATTAAACCCTCGATAAGATACCGTCACTGCGGTTATTCGTTTGAATGCGTTCGCAAATGTTCATACTTAAATGAACTCTTTGACCTTTAGCGGTCTTAGAAAATCTCACATAATACATATTATTTTGGCGGGATTGACTTTTGTTGACGTCTAAACAGGATTTGAATATAGGAACGTCCATATAAGTAATTAGGGTGAACCTGAGTGGAATTCTAGAAAGGACAATACCTTCCCGTGACCCAATCCCAAAAATAAGCTTAAAATAAAGCTAAGCCATTACCCCAATCCTAAACCTTACACTACCCTTAACGTTTCCTGTCCAGTTAACACTAGCCATTAACATTGACGATTAACCATACTTTTGCCATTTTTAATTCCGACCAATGAATATTTTGCCTTCAACAGTGCAGAGCATGAGAAAATCAAGGGGACGCCGATAGGTTCCCCGATACTCAAAATCTGTCCTAAAAAGTTTAAGATGTTCGCTTTAAATCCATGATAACCTGTATCTCGGCGTTGATACATGAACGGCAAGTTCATTACAATCGACACGGGTGTTGAAGAAGAAGAAGACACGATCTCTGGGACTAGGAATTTATTATCCTGACATGGGTAGGCCCTGGGAACATGTCTTACCCTGACTTCAGTTCACAAGACATGCAGAAAATATCGAGCAATTGCCCTTCTCTGGTCTTCTCATCATGTAGCAAGATTTATAGGAAGATGACTAACACAGCTATGTCCTCGGATATCATTGCAACCGTTCGATTGTGTAGACACGCGGCCGCGTTAGGACATTTTCCAAGCGGCGAAATAGCCAAACAGTAGATCGAAGGGAAGATTACGAGTATCACAACGTCTCCGGAAACAGTCCCGGGTAGGCCCTCGGGACATGTGTAACTGAAACTTCCCTGACTTCAGTTCACAAGACATGAAGCAGAGGTCCAATAAGTGTTCTTTCCTGGTCTTCTTATCATGTATCAATGTTTGTAGAAAGATGACTAGCACAACTATGTCCTCGGATATCATTCAACCGTTTGATTGTGTAGACACGCGGCTGTGTTAGGACATTTTCAAAACGACGAAAAATCACAACAGTGGGTCGAACAAATGTGAAAAAACCTCAGACAACCTGGAAGCGTCTGTCATATACAATCAATGTGTCAGATGAAACGGAACGGATAGCCGCAGAGTTTGTCATTGGTGTCGCCCAACACACGGTAGCTTCTATGTGTACAAAACTAATGCAAATGAAGAACCGACTGGAGGCGGGTGAGCAGTCGGGTGTAGTTTATCAAATCCCGTTGTCGTGACCGACCCTGTCATTCAACAGCCTAGAACAAACGACGGTCAAACTCACGAATACGCAAGTATAAACGATTCCATCATGGAGGCGATCTGTCATCTCGAGTCGCTATTCCCACCCTGGAGGGAGGCCACGAAGGCAATTTTGCGAGCATGCGAATTATGGCTCGAGTCAGCGATAAGACGTGGCGGCAGCTGCTGGAGGGGCTGGGTGTCTGACAGCAACCCCACCAATAGACACGTTGATATACTCTAGAGGCCGAAGACGTTGAGGGTAACACACACGGGGTAACGTGGAGAAATATATATAATTCCTGGCTAATCTGATCTGAAAGGAATTGATTAACGGGTCATTGATCTCATCCAAGCTGACAGTGGAAACGTCAAGTAGTGCGAAATACGTATATGAAGAGCAGC